GGGGGTGAGTGGCTGATGGGATCGGGCTGGGTGGGGTCTGCTGAGGGGAGGAGGCGCCTCCCTGGGCGTGGCACTGTGTTCCTCCGCAGCGGAGCAGGTGGCAGTGTGAGGCTCTTCTCCGTGGGGAGCAGGGCCATCCCTGGGGCCGCTTTGGGGCAGCCCTGACAGTGCTGGGGGACGTGAATGGGGACAAGCTGACAGACGTGGCCATCGGGGCTCCTGGAGAGGAGGAGGACCGGGGCGCCGTTTATGTGTTTCATGGCGTCTCAGGACTGGACATCAGCCGGTCCCACAGCCAGGTGAGGCCCCTCTGTTCAGCCTCATTTTATTCCTTCTCCTTGTGTCCTGAGTTCATCGAATGCAGCTTCTTGTCACTGGCCTTAGAAATTTTTGTCCCCTTCCTTGTTTTAGTCATTTTTTACCTTGAATTTCACCAGACTCAGTTAAACACAAACCGTCTCTTTTCTTTGGCTCCAAAAGCCTTTTAATCTGTTGTGGACAGCTTGATGGATAAGAGATCACGCTTTAAGAACAGAACCCAGATCAAATCCTGGGACTTACCAGCCTTCCTCAGCAGTGTGGCCTTAGGCAAGTTACGGATTTAGCCTCTGTGAGCTTTAATTTCTTTCTGTGAGACATGGAGATTATTAAAGCAGCTCCAAAATCAAAGCCAAAAACCAACTCCATGGGCTCCTTGTGAGTATAAGCAGTCAATACACTAAACATTCCATTCATCAAAGATTAAAAAAAAGTTAAAAAGACTTACAATTGAACGCAATAGGTGATGAATAAATGAATCTGTTACTTTCCTAGCATTATGTTTTAACTTCCTGATGAAGAGTTAAAGAACTCCTTTCTCTCTGTCCCGGGGTCCCTGAGATCCTTGCGCTAGCTGCTTTCAACTTTTACCTTTTCTTCTCCTCTTTAAAATTTCTCTGTTCAGATTTACTTCACTGCTTGCGATCAGCTCCTCTTGACTTCCACTTTTCCTGTTCTTTTCTGGCCAGCGGATCAGCGGCTC